CCCCAAAACCCCAAAACCCCAAAACCCCATGATGAACAATTGTAGTGAAATAGAAGAATAATGATGATAATTTAGTTTAAAACATCATATCATAAATTTAAAGCTTCATTTTAGTGAAATGCAATTGATTAATATCAGATGTGCTTGAAATATTAGTAATAAAAATATCAATCATTTAGACAATTCAAAAAATGATTTTAAAGCTCATCTAGATCCCAAAAAAGATTATGATTATGATCTTGATAAGCATTTTTGTGCTTTTGTAACTTGATAAAGTTAATGCAGACGATATTATTCTCAATTAACAGTTTTCAAATGTTTTTAAGGAAATTTTTGAGAATCAAGCTAGAACAAAGGTACAAGAATAATTGAATTTCACAAACAAGCAAGATCTAATCGGTAAAAATTATCTTGATTCATAAGAAATCGTAATTACCATACTTTTCAAATCTTAGTAGGTACAAAGTTAGGGGATAAGTTACTCAAATAAAGAATCATGCGATATTCAAACACAATACTAGGAATTCTTTCCCTAAAAAACTTAAAAAATAAGTAAGATATTAACTATTTAATATAATGGCTTTTGAACTAATAAAGATGTAAATTATATAGGGAATTTATAGTCATGTATGGATTCTACAAATACCTTTCCTCTTATATTTCACAATGATGTAGAACTAGATATGAAGACAGAAGAAATGGGCTTTGATGTCGATGTTAATGATGAACTTATCGTTGTTTCTATGACTTTATTAAGCGTGACTTAGTATGATGCAAACTACCCTAAATTTAAAGAATTCAACTTTACTCTTTCATAAACTATGGCATTTGGAGTTATCATGATTGACTAATCTGCGCAAACAAAATGGTTTAAAGTCGGTATTGAACAAAATTATTAAAGAACTAAAACAGGAATAATTTTCTCTTTGAATATGGTTACTGCCATTGTGAATACTATTTATGATGAGTTGAGAGTAATTGAAATGGATAAAATAACTGGAAATGAAATCAGAGACTTTAAAATTGGATTTTGAGGACAAGCATCTTATTCTGCTCAATCTCCAGATACAATAGATATGAAATATGATTCTAAGTATTCAAAGGCTCGATACATTATGCTAGGATTTAAATCATCAATATTTGTGTCAACAACCAAAATGACCCCTTACATCAAGGAGATAAGAATACTTGTATTGTATAATGACAACTCAATTAAAAATCTTTTGCTGAGTTATATTGATCCAAATAGCACAAATTTCTTTCAAAACTTGTTGGGCTACTCCCAATTTTTTGGAAATTAGAATATCTATATTTCTGCTGGAATTTTAGACTCATCTAATACAAAATATAATTGGCTTAATGATAGTTATTAATCTCATACCTGGTTCGCCTACAACCTTACTGCTAATACCTCATAGTAGATAACTTATAATTCAAAAAAAGATACTTCATTAAAAAAATCTTTCCTATCTTATGATGAGTTATATTTGATTGACTTAACAGAAATGGTTATAAACAGTCAAGCTTCATTGAGATAAACATTGGTTAATAGACCTAGCTTTAATCTTAATACTTAAGCTGCCTATATTTATTTACCTTTTTCAATAAATACTATGGTTGCTGAAGCATGTCCCAACAGTGAAATGGTTATAATTGGTATTTATGGATTAGCTAGTCCATCATTCTATTTGTGATATAATTATCTTACACTGAATGTTATTAAATTTGGAAGAATGAAGGCATTTTAAAATAAACCATTTAGATACGTATTTGGATCGACTTATGTTTATACATCAAAGTACATTCCAGCAAATGACATGATATACTTTTTATCTCCATTAGATTATAATTCGATTACCAAATTACTCTTGCATAAATACAGTGTTGATCTAGACCCAATAACCACTTGCAATAATCCAGAAGATTTTGACAATCCTCCTCTCAAGAATGTAACAATATTAACAATAAATGACCTTTATAATCCCGTTCTTCCTAAAATATCAGTTTATCTTCATACTAATGCATTAGGAATTGTTAGTATGGATTAAAAACTTTATGATTTCACAGGGAATATTTCTAAAATTGTCTTCAATCAAGTATCAGATTTGCAATGTTTGGGACCTTTTATATAAAAATAGATGTCTGTAGTTAACTATGATTTCAATCTTGATCCTGTTTAGTTCTTTGATTCTTTAATGTATGAATCTTGTATAGGCACTAGGACTTATATTTAAGATAAATTCAGTTATTATAATTCAACCTCTGATACTAATTTCAAGTTTAATAAGGTAATTTCAAAAATAAACGTGACTATAAATTATACAGCAGATTACGATAAGTATGTTGGTTCAAGATATATAGGAGTATTCCCTTAGGTACTTGGAAGTGGAGGGGTGGCAAAATCATTATTAACACGCTTTATTCCTAAATCTGAATATGTAAAAGATGTAACTGCACCAGACCATAATTTCAAAAGTTGCAGTTAAAAAATTTACCCCTTGTTTTGGGGTGAATCCTACCAAGTTCAAATATAGCAATCTACCCTTGATGATTATGGCAATATATTAATGGCAGGGAGTTCGGATAAGCTACCATTTTCTTAAATCTTAAGCGGTGTTGCTACTTTACTTCAAGGGTTTGTGGCTTTGTTTGATTAAAGAGCTTAACCTCTTTGGATTTATACAGCATCATAAATTTTTCAAGCCGCTTATAATTAAACTTGTGTTAGTGTATCTCAGTATGGTGAATATGTTTATGCCTTATGCACTCTAAGAGAAACTGAATATTTATATAGCAGAGACAGAATATTGGCACTGCTAAAGTTTCAGCATTCGAATGGAATGCTGATCTACTCCACGAATTTACCTAACAATACAAATCAGTAGGGAGACTTTGTCTAAGGTCTAGCGGGAGATAAAGTACTAGTTCTCTTTAGATATTTTAATAATGCAAACAACCTAACTGGCTAAGCAGCCCTTGTTTATGATGATATCATTGAATCGCCTTAATGGTATAAATTATACAATTCTAATTATTAGGAACCTACTTTCTTAGAGCCAACACCTAGAACATATCTAGTTAATTAGGGCACAGGCTTTTACTATATATTTGAGTCAGTCCCTAATTTATTCTTTTAAACTTACAAAGTTAATATTGCAACCGGACTTATTGAAGCTATATCTAGATGCACCCAGGTTAGTTAAGTGACTATGGGTTTCTTTTATGCAACATTTTTTAGCACTAATTAGATAATATAAGGAGCTATAAATATGATTATTGGCTCAAACATTGCTATTATCCAGATTATTAACCAGAATGATCTCACAGTAACTAAATAGGTTAAATTGTCATTTGGGACAGGATATTAATTAGGTAACATTGCTATTGAGGTGATGAATAATAACCAAGATATCTATGTAGTATTTTCAGAAAAGTAGATAGTAGTTGCAAAATTAGATGCAAATTTGCAGTCTTAAAAATATACAACCTTCAAAAATATTTACTCTAGTGCTAAAATTTAAAATATAAAAAGCTTTAATAATGAACTACTCTATTTCTTCAACACTCAAACTGTTTAAGCTAAATACTCAGCAACAATAATGAGATCTGATGCAGAGTTAAATTTTGAAGAATTTTAAATATTTAGTGGAGAAAGTATAGATCTTTAATCTACTGATTAGACTTGGAAAATTTAGGCTGATTCGACAATTAGCACACCTAATACCCTGATCACAGATTTTAGTCCTGGAATAGATGGGAACATATTAACTTAATTAATGCTAAAATCTACTAATTTAAACTGGACAACTTAAAGCTACTCTCCTTCCATTGTCAAGAGAAATGATAATGGTTTATCAATAATGAGATTAAATTTTTTCAACGGAAAGTAGCATTCACCTGGACCAATAATTAATGAAAATTTAGAAGCGGTCTTTACTTATGAAATTGTGCGAGCAACAGGGATATAAGAGATTTAACTCTAATAGCTTTAAGACTAATCAATTTGCTTTGATAGACCAATTAAGATTGTTTTGATTTGCACTATTAACAATAATGAGATTATGTTCTACCCTTATGTTAAACTTGATAACATTACAAACAAGATTATTGTCAACACAACAATGATCAACAACGTCAATTACTTTCCAGGTTCTTATTATGTAAAAGTTAGATATTAGGACGCATATCAAGTAGAGGCAAAGATTTACTTTGAAACAATCATTTAAATTAGAATAGTGAACTCAGCTAATATCTCTATATCCTAGTCAAATTTTACTTAATGCACCGTGAATCCTTTTGCATTCAGCTACAACTTTAAATAAATTTTTCCACTCTCACTATTCTTGACTGAAGATGATGAAAACATGATATTAGGAGGTTATGCAAGGATATTAAGTGGAAGTAACGAGGCTTTTGTAATGAGATTGTCATAAACTGGTAGACTTGAATGGATCGTTGTAATCTTAAGTTTAGTCCAATCATAAGTAAATAGTGTCTTATAGTAGAATTACTAAGTCTATTGTCAATACAGAACTGTCAATTAATTTTTTGATTCCTAAGAAGCTATTGTTAAGATGACTTATGGTGAAGGGAAGATTATTTGGGCCAGAAAAATTCAAATGGATTTAGCTATATTTAAAAGTAAACTTGCTTTTGCAGATAATTATGAGATAGTAGTAGATCCCTTTGACCCTAGTCGATTCGCAGTGCTCAGCAAATATAGGCTTGATTTATCTTCAAGGTATATTATTGCATTTTCTATGCTGTAAGATGATTCTGATGGTTTGATTAATCCTTTTAATATCTTCATTAAAGACTAATCAACTTAAGTTGATGCTAATAACTAAGCTGGATCTATAATATTTGATTTAGACTAAAATTGCACCTACTTCACGGGCTTTATTAGAAACAAGGATAACAATACAGGAAGTGGCTCATATGATGGGATTATAGTTAAGGCTGATTCAATAACTGGCTAAATTATATGGGCGAAAAGCTTTTGGCATTCAGCAACTCAATACAAACTAGCTTAAAATAATCCTAATATAATCCAAAGTAAATTCGATAAAACTTTGATTATTGTCGCACCAATTAAAAAGGACTCTTAAATTTTGAAAGTTTCCACAGATGGTTAACTAATACGAAAAGTAAGAATAGTAACAAATTCTTATGAAATTAGAAGGACAATGATAGTTTAAAATCCAAGTAACCAAAATATCATTCTGGTATCTTAAACTGATGCATCATTTGGAAGATAGATGGTATATTTGGATAAAGACTTAAAATCAATAGATGGAGGTAGAATTCTATCAAGCCCATTAACCTAAAATTTTCATACTATAAAGTTTGTAGCTCAGACTAGCAAGTATTTTATTATTGCAACTACTGATTCAATGCACAGTTCAACATTTTCATTAGAACCTGTAATAAATAAGTTTTCTTTTAACTGGCATGAAACTTCTAAATACCAATGTGTTGGATTTACATTAATTCTTGATAACAACATTGGAGTAATATAAGATAGTGACACCAATTTTATTGATATTTAAGCTGATGCATAAATATAGACCACAAGCACCTTTACTTATCAAGTAGATTTCTTAAGATCAGTATAAGTTCATCCTTATTAAAATATCTCAAGATTACCAGTTTATTTTGGATATGATGGACCTACCAAAATACAATTAATTCCAGCTTCATATAAGTATTATTGCTAGGAAAGCGCTAATGTTCCTCCTTCAGAGATTGATTTTCCTGAGTTTACAATGAAACAAGGCTCAACTGGGATGTATCAGATTGATGCATTGTAAGTAAAGCAATGCTAGGGATATAGTTCTAAGATAAAAAGTATTTATAATGAACAAAAATTATAGTCTTTTACTAAACCATACCTCTCAATGAAGGGCAACATCATTACAATTGATGGAACCTAAACAACATTGTAACCAAGCTTTAGACTTTGGTACATCTTTGTAGAATCTTCTAATGCTAAGGCTACTCTTGTGCAATTACCTATTTTTGTATGGCCTTCATCTTTCTAAGAAGCACCGAGAAATGAATCTACTAGTACATGCACAGGTATTATATTCCCCAAAGCTATTGCAGCAGCAGATGGAGATTTTGAGCATCTGAATTCTGATATGGACGATTCTAATGGTAATTTCTTGATTTGTGGAATTAATAAGAACTCCTAACATCAACTTAAAGATTATAATACAGTTGGTAGAGGAGGAGTAATAGCTCTTTTTGGAATAACAGGTAAACCTTATTGGGCATATTCAGCTTTGCTTCCTCAAAATAGGTTCATAACAAGTTGTATTTTTAGTGTAGATAAATCTTCAGTGTATAGCTTGGTTGGACATTTTATAAGTACTGGTTATATTTAAGGGTTTATGAAATAAAAATATGAGTCAGGGAAATTTATCTACATCAAGTAACTATAAAACAACGTATTAATTCAAGGTGAATAAAAACTATACTTTTAAACTTTTCTGTCTCAGGATCCTTATACAAATGACTTATATTTGAGTTACAAAAGATTCGATACTGGATTTGGGTTTTAAAAGAAATGGTAGGCACAGCTATTTAAGATTCGAGATGAAAATAATCAAGCTGAACTCCAATGGACATCAAGATTTTAAAATTTAGTTGAGCCTAATACAATGTACATTTATCATTAAGCATAGTATGAGCAGGATTCTGAATATATGTACTGTGTAGGAAGTACATTATTATATTTACCAAATGGAACATTAGGTCTAACAAATGTTATATCTAAGATCAATAAAAGAATAGGAACATTTAGTTTTGTGACTTTGAATGTCTCTACGAATAGTTTTGAGGAAAATAGAGCTGCAATCATTTTAGATTCAGGAAAATTAATAGCTGGTTTTGTAAACAGAACTTAAAAAATAGTGTCAATGACAACATTAAACACAAATCTTCAAGTTATTGATTCAAATTCTTTTTCTTATAGTTTTGTATAGCCTAATGAAACCAAGAGTTATGAAATTTCAATGATAAAGTATGATACCAAAATCTTATAAATTATTGTACTTGAAAAAGTAAGGATATTTGCAATATGGGATATAACAACTTTAAATATTTTGAGTATGAAGACGTAAGCACTATATAATAATTATTAATATTCTTGTAGACAAGTATTTACCAGTGCTTTAACATTTGGACTAAAGATGTATATCTACAACGGTTACATGTATTTGCTTCACTCTGGATAGAGTTATAGTAACTAAATTTAATTTAAATGTTTATGCTGTAGAGTATCTTTACCAATCATCTGTCTTTGATCGATATACATTAGATTTCAATGCTCCTGACTCATGTGTTGCTTCTTTATTACAAAACGTATCTCCATTGCCTACACTATCATCAAATGCAAATACTGCATTGCTGAATTTTTAAGCTTAGTTCACATTGTAAACAGTTTATGATGTTGGAAAATTTAGTAACTAAGATGCTGGGTTTTACATGGAATTAATAAATTACTCAGTTGGCTTTGGGTACTCTTAAGCTACTCTTTTGGGCTGTCCTAATCTTGTCATAGATTGGCCAGATGATCCCAAGGATTTATTCATAAAACTGCCACAAGTTGATTTAGTCACTTAAGTAATAAAGCAAGCTTAATTATGCACAGGCGAGCGTTTACTGTTCAGCTGGAAAGCTGATCATTTCAACCCATAGCCTACTGCAATATTCTCAACTGATGCTCCTGAAGGTTCTCAAATGAATATTAATGCCACTGCTCTTGGAATAGGTATCTACTCAATTTCTGTGTCATTTAGTTAAGGCGTTGATTAAACTGTAAGTAAATTGCATCATGCAAATAACTCTTATAATAGTTAACAAAAAGTTTTAAGGTTGTGATAAGCCCACCTCAAAATTTCACAAAACCAATAATAGCAGAGTGCTAATAAACAATTTACCCTTTCTATACTAATTCAATTACATTAACCTATAATTATGCAGATGCCACATTTGATGATTCAGTTCTGGTACTATGTGGAATGAGCAATTCTGATAATGTACCTGTGATCAATAAAGCATATCCATTTTTTGCATTTTACAACAAGAACATTATTTAAAACTACTGGCTTACATTACAATCAGGGTTAGGTGATGGAGAGGCTACTTTTTGCTAATTTGATGATACAAATAATAACTTATTTTCAATTGTTCAAGCTAAATCTACCGCAATAGTTGCCATTTATGATACAGTCTATGCCTATAAAATTGATCCTATTGGAAGACTTGTATCGTCAAAGATGCTTTAGACTGCTGGAAATTAACTCTTAGCTCCTTATGGAACCTATGATAACAATACGAAATCATTTTATATATCTGGCACAATCGAATAAAGCAGTCTAATGCTTACAAACTAGAGTGGATTCATTTGGAAATTAGATGATAATCTAAATACAATATATTTCAGTGTCTACTCACTTTATAGTCTTAATGTCTTTCCTTAAGCTATTGCTTCTTCGGTAGGAGGCTACGCTCATCAGCTTGTAGGGAGGCCAACATCTTCAGGAAAGTTACATATTGGAGTTTTAAATTTATTAGCGAATGGAACAATTTTTTCAAGCAAATTTTTTATTTCAACGATTCCTGATAGTTATAAAACTGGATCTTAATAAACTGAATATGACATAGTATATCGCAATTAATATGTTTATTCAGCATTTTCTTACCTTATAATGGCACCAACAGAATTCAATGAAATATATGTTAGTAAGCATATTATCTCTTCTGGATCACTTAGTCAATAAAGAGTATTTATACTGCCTGATGATTAAGGTACTGCTATTTCAATTACTTTTATTGAACCAGACCCTTATTTCTATTTATTTGTTGAAGGAAAATAGAAGGGAAAGTCCTATATATTTAAAATGAGTGAATATATGGCGTTTATAGAATTCTTTATATCTTATCCAACGGCTCCAAGCTCAGATGCTTTAGCATTGAATTCATTTAGATCTAGCAAGAATATATATTTCATGTACTCATATAAACCTCCATCATCCAACTATAAGAATCTCATGATATCTAAGTTCAAAATTGAAGATATGTCAAACATCAAATCAACTTCTTACTACTGCTCATCACTATATAATTAAGAATTATCAGGAATTGATACCAAAGTTAAGGCTTCAGTAAATGGAGCATCAAACTCATTGTTATATACTTTCTGGACAATTTTGCCAGTTATAAGTAAAGTTTATAGTATATCTGAAATGAAGAGTTTTATTTAAAGTGCTAGCATGGTAAGAGGCTACTATTACAATAATTAAACAACAAATACATTGTAAAAGCAAATTAATACCTGCATAACATAATCACCAGCTACTCCTGGAGTGACAAAGGATTTTGTGGGTGAGAGAGCCATATTCATCTCTAAATCAGACTTTTTTTTGAATATATCTCCATTTAAGTAATGTCAAGGAGTAAATTTCACAACTAACATGATTTATTCTTATCAGAAATCTAATGTGTTGGTTTTTGAAGCACTTCCATCTTGGATTGTCCTAGTAGAAACAGATATTTCTGCCCCATACTTGATAGTCTCTCCGACTTCGAACTCCCAAGCAGGAAATTATACATTGATCTATAACTCTACATTTCTTGATTTGCTTTCATATAGATAGTCTTCAGCAAAAATCTAATTGCAGGTTAACCCTAATCAACCACCTTTTCTCTAAGAGACATTCAATAAGACTGTTACTATTTATGGCATGCATTCATTTAGGGATGTCATTTATTTTGACAAGGATATCGAATACAATGAGGCTGTGATTTGGTTAAACTTTTACGATACTTAGAATAGTGCTATTCTTAGCACTACATCATGGGTTAAAGTAAATTCTAATTCTAGTGAATTAGTAGAATATGAATTAGAGAATCCACCTAATCCTTCAGCTAATACTGTTTACTACTTAAAATTCTTTGTTGCAGATGAATATAATATGCTTTCACCAAGGGTATATACGATTAATGTAAATTTACTCAGAAATAAAGCCCCAAAATCAAACAGTAACAATTTAACTTCTAACATTATTCCCTAATTATTTGTACCTTAGCATTTTTCGAAGTTTTTCTATCATGAAAACTTTATAGATATGGAGGGAGATAATTATACTGTTGATTGTAATACTATCTTAAAGCCTTCAACTTCCCCTAACAAGGATTGGATCGAATTTACAGATTATGAAAATGGTACCTACAGTATCATTGGAGCTACCCCTAAAAATAATCAATTTGCTGGAATCTATACAATAAATTGTCTTCTATCAGATGGATTTAGTGATTCACCTAGCACTTTTTAGATTACTGTTAATGTGATTGCCAAACCTTAAATAAAGCTTTTGTATCATCCAGGTAATTTTTCAATGCTTTTGCCTTATGGATTTAATCTCAGTCTTGAAAACATAACTATTGAATAGAGAGCTGATTATATTCTTACCTTATATATTAATAATACATAATTTGGAGTAGTCCATTCAAATTGGCTTTAATTCGATGATTAGAATATGACATTTTAATTTGTTCCTAGAGAAAACAAATACCAAGGTTTGCATGAATTACATCTGAAATTTGATGATGAGATATCTACTCCAACATATTTAAAGTTTTTTGTGACTATTATACCTAATTATGGCCTTAAATCAAAAGGTGATTTGCCCAACAGAATCGCTATAGCAAATAACAATTTTATGTTTCATACAAATGTTATTTCTCTATTCACCAACCCCGAGAAAATGGATTATAGTTTTTATTTTAGAGAGTATGGTAAGCTCGAACTGCCAAATTTTGTTACGAAAAATTATTCAAATGGGACTATAGCAGGATTCGCGACTGAGGATTCAATTGGAGAATATAATATTGAGCTAGTTGGAGTTGATGATTCATTTTTGGAGACAGTGATTTCATTTACCTTGAGAGTTTAACGTAATTTTAAATTAATATTCATTAAATCTATAGCTTGCTATTATAAATGTTTATTATGCTGGGGAGCTGACTATAATATGTGTACTAAATGCAAGCCAGGCTTTTACTTTTATAAAGGAGAAGTAAGGTTTTTAATAATGCTATAACATACTATCTAGTGTGTGGATACTTGTATTGTTGGCACTTATTAAGATTCATAAAATTATTGTTAAAACTGTCCATAATAATGTTTATACTGTACTGGAGGGAATTTTCTTAAAGAGTGCTAACTATGTGAGAAGGGATTTTTCTATTTTGAAAATGGTTGCTACTCATAATGTCCATAAGGCTATTATGAAGATAACATTGACTCATCATGTAAATGTAACAATTTAAAAAATTTAACTTATTTTTAAGTGTGCCATCCTTCCTGCAATGATTGCTTTGGCCCAAAATCTTCACAATGCAGTAATTGTACAGAATTATTTTAAAGTAATGAGTTCGGTATTGTTACTAGGCAAGGATATTACTTGAGTAATACTGCTTGCATTATTCCAAAATGCAGCAAAGGATAATTCTTTAAATGGGAAACTAATCTTTAAAATGGAGTCGTGAATGGCTAATGCGAAAATTGCCATCCAAGTTGTAAGAACTGCATTGGCTTTGGTGAGTTCTAATGCTTGGATTGTTACCTAGGTTATGAATATATATCAGAGAACAGAACTTGCATCAAATGTGAAGATATACTAGGAATGTTCACCAACGAAGAGATGGAATGTGAAGATTTGTGTGGCGATGGTATAATAGTTGATAAGAACTGTGATGATGGGAATCAAAATAATGGCGATGGATGCAGTAATAAATGTGAAGTTGAAGCTGGATTTAGTTGTCCATTTGCAAATTATACATGCCATGAAATTATTCCACCTTTCCTCACTATAACATCTATTACTTAATTAAATCTTATCATGCTAGAATTTTCAGAACCTATAAAAATAGAAAATGAAATTGTTTTTACTCCTGAAAATCTAAAAATTGAAATTAAAGGCTCAAAACTTGATTACAAATTTGATTGGAGAATAGTTGAATAAAGTAAATAATAGCTAGTTCCAGGTAGAAAGATTGATAAATTTTAGATAATTTTAAGTGAGATGAAATAAAGTCTTTATGGGTCAGAAGAGATTAGAGTGTCATTTTAAAATTCAACCCTTATAAAAGATCTTGCAAATAATACTTTGCTAGATTAGTATGCCAGCACTAATCCATATCCATTTACTTATTTGTCACCAGAAGAGAAAAAGGTTTCAACGAGTGGAGGTTAGTCACTTTAATACTCAGTGATGTCTTTTTTCAGTATAAATTTGCTTTTAAAGTTCGTACTCAATTCATCGATGTAATACCTCTGGGGTCTAGTACATGCTCTATAAGTTTTCACATACTTACTGTATATAGATATTGAGTTTCCTCCACAAGTATCTATGTTTACAAGCTATTTAACAATTGCAAGTGGTGACATTGATCTTTAGAGCTTTGTTCCTTCAGTAATGAAGATGATAATCATTGAAGAAGATCTTTATGAACCTATTGACTCCTAAAAGTTTTATTACAAATTCTAGGCTGATAATCTAACTCCTTATGTAGCAATTAGTTACGGTGAGAAAATAAGTTTATGGATGGTTTCTATTTTAGTGATACTCCCCTTTGCCTTGATTTTAAGCAAAAAATTTAAGACTGTAAAGTTATTCTAAAATCTAATCTAAGGATTCTTCTATAATGTACCCTTGAGAACATTTATAGAGTTGTATCTAGAACTGATATTGATAGTTTTGATAAATACCTAATTCGTCAAATTCTCTAACCGATCACAAATTTTTGCATCAATTACTTTATTTTTTGTGGGATCTTTTTCAATACTTTTGCCATTTCTACTTATGACTGCGATTTTTTAAAATAGAAAAAATATTGAAAAACGTAGATGGATAAATTCACTTGGAATACTGACCGAAGACTTGCAATCAGATCATTTATTGCAAATCTACTATTACCCACTGTTCATATTTTAAAGATTAACTATATGCGCAATTCTTGTGTTTGCTTTTAGTTACCCACTCATTTAATGTGCGATGGCGCTTGCTTGCAATTTCACTATGATAATCTACCTGATAAATATAAAACCATTTAAACAAGAAAATTTGCAAGCTACAACAGTCCTTGACGAAGTAATCATAATGCTAATCATAATAATCTTCACTCTTTTAACTGTGAATGATTACAACGTAGATGAGAGGAAAAATTATGGATGGATAATTGTAGCTCTAATAGCTTTTAGTATAATTAAGAACTTCAGTGTTGCAATTTACTTTGGCTGCAGCAAGGCTAGTTAATCGTATTAAAATATATTCTTGCAGGAGGATAAAGAAATAGATTCACCTCATTCAAGCGACAATGAATCTGTATTAAGTTTTGGGTCAGAGACTTTTGATGGTCATTAAAATGGTAGAAATAGAACTAAAAGATTTAAAAATCTTTTGAATATAAATACAATAAATGATGATAGTCCGAGAAAAGCAAAGGAAATAACATTTTAATGAAATGCTTTTGACAAAATATTCAATCACGATATTAACTGATAAAAGTTTAATTATATAATATTTGTGATTATCAATATTTTTACAACTAAGTGATTAAGATCAGTGGGGTTTTGGGGTTTTGGGGTTTTGGGG